CATAAAATATTGTAGATCAGGGTTTGGTAACCATTCAACCTACAAGCCAGATCCAGCCAGGGAACCAGGGGGTTCTGGCAGTGTTCCAGCAGTAAGAAGGTAGGGAGTGGGGGGAGGACACGACTTTGCACATGCCTGTCCCAGAGCTGGAGAGCTGCACCAGAGCCAGACTGCTGGGAGCTGAATCCATATCGCTACCACTTCTATCTCACCCTCTCCCCATTCTAACTGTGATGGGGGTACAGCTTCTAGCAAGTGAGGAGCTGCACTGGGGCTGGAAACCCGGTTGTTCTGGCTCACAGCTTGGAAAGGTTGCTGTCCACAGCATTCACAATGCTAACATTCATGCTATTTTGAAGGGACTGTCATCTGGCCATCAGCCTTCCAAATTGTCCACCACAACTCTGTAAATGCTAAGAATGAATGTTCTGTCTCGTGTTACATTGTTTAAGATATGGCTTCATTTGCCATTACAGGAGTATTTTAGAGGACCCTTTATATCCATCTCATCACAAGCACTCCATCAATAACCATATTTTGGGGGAAACATTTCCAGCTTTTTCAAGTATGTAACTGCCTAATCCTCTCAGACCCTGGTGTCATACACAAGTGTAGGAAGTGCTGGCAAGGCAGCTAGATGCACCAAACCACACAGAATAAGTAGTAGTGCTTTCTGGATAACATACAGTTACTACTAGCAGTAGATCAAGGAGTGGGGTGGATACAGCCCCCCTTAGTGGTGCCACAGACAGTGAGCTCTGAATTCACTGCCTTATCATCAGTGTGGGTTCCTGCCCGAGCTCTGCATGAACAATGAGCTCCAGGAGATGACTACCTGATCAACATACGGTCTGGCCAGGGCCACTGCTTTCACACAGCAAATAGCTGTAATTCATGGGCGGGCATTTATTTTGGGCAGAGGGCTGCTTACTGAGTTTTGGCAAGCCATCAAGGGTTGCATGACGGGCAGCCCTAGGCAGATAAATTTTAATTTTCTAAATTTTTTAGGGGCCTGGTGGGCCACATCTGGCCCCTGGGCCGCATTTTGCCCACCCCTGCTGTAATTTCTCCCTTTCAAGGCTTCATGTGATTTCAGACTGAAACTTCCACCCTTAGGGCTGTTAAGTCCACAGACTACTTATTTTCTCACATAACATACCATAGCACACACCCTATTTTTGGAATGCCAAAAGAAGGGGGGAAACAAAAACCTTACCATGGAGCATGGGTAAGTAACAGAGGTGTGGGGTTTCTGGGGTTGGAGGCTACTCACTGGGTCCAAGACCATGTGATGCTGTCTGCTGGGTTGGACCCAGTACTTCGAATCTGGCTGCAGACCAACTCTGCTTGTCATCCCAATTTGGCGCACAGCTGGAGTGGGGCTCCCCATGGGTCCAGAAATTTGGTAGGAGGGGGAGGAATGGCAGCAATAACAGCTGTGGCTCCCAGAGCTACAGCAATTATTGCCACCAGGTCTGCCCCAACCCCAAATTTCTGTACCTGTGGGGATCTCTCTTCTTTGCATATAATGCATACCACAGTTTTCCCCAGCCGGGTTTTTGGTGGGTGGAGGAAGGTTCAGATTATATGCAAGAAAATACAGTAATTTCTAGAAGGGTTCTCCACCATATGGTGCAGGGAAACCTGGAATGCATCCCAGCACCATGTAAGTACCAACAAATTCATTGTAGTCTAGTTCGTTACATATTTAAAAACAAACCCCCAACCAGCCGACATGGAGCAGGGAAAAGCAGGTCACAGCACAGGGTCAGATGTGGCACAAAACATATGAATACCTATAATTGCATGTATATCCTTAAAGGATAAGGCCTGATTTTTCCCAAGGTGTAGATATCCATCTACCGGATTGTCAAAGGTGGGTAATTTAAGGTACCTAGACTCCTACAGATTTCACTGAAAATTAGAAAGCTCATGAAGAAAGTCTTGCATTCAAAAGCTTGCCTATCTCTGCTATGCAATTGATTCAATAAAAATAATAATTAAACAAACACACACACATATCACCCTAAGAAATCTGAACCTCACAATTTCAGCATCGTTAACTGGAGTTTAGGTGGACATGGCTCATTTATCTAACATTACACAGGAAGTCTACGGCAGAGCTGAAAGTTTAACCTGAACAAGAATTTCAGTAGAGACTTTACCTACCAAGAAATTTGTGAAAAAGATTATTTCCTTCCTTTCCATTTTTATTGCCTCCTATAAAGTAAAAAAGCCGTAAACATTGATAACCGTTTTTAAATAACTGGAACTTGAAAGAAGCAAAGAAAACATACTCTGAATGATTACACACAAGTGTCTTCTTTTTTCTTGCAGCTTATGGTTCTTTGGGAAAAATTCAGTCTAGGAATCGAAGAGGAATTTTTGAATTGGCTGGAGTTGTTAAATGCAGCACAGGACGCAGTGCTATTTCCTATATACGGTATGGATGTTATTGTGGTCTAGGAGGACGTGGCTGGCCTAGAGATGCAGTAGACTGGTAAGAGAACAAGCTTATAGGATTAAGTGCTGAGTTTATCATTAGATGGACAAAAAGAAAAGTTATCTTGAAGACAGAGTAAAAAATTAGCATGTTTTAAATATTCCCACCTCATGTTAATGAAGCTCCGTGTGCAAGGCAAAGTTTTGGAATGATACCAATCTGTTGCAGTGGATCTATATGATTTTACACGAGTCTTCCTTGGCTTTCAGTTAAAGACTTCAGTAATATGCACTAACTTTATAGGACAGACTCACAACTTCAATTCTGTCATCATTTGGTCATATCCTAGATTTGTTGAGGACATTTTAAATGTTCTACTACATTTGAGTTATCCCAGGAAACATACCAATATTCTCACAAAGGAAAACTAATTCTCTTAGTCATCATCTTCTAAACAGCCGGAAGCTGTAGACAGAGACAAAAATCAGCACAAAAACTTTCAGGCAAAAGGTGAATGTTTTCAATTATATCCAGCATCCAAATAGAGGATTCAGGAATGGAAGTTTTGCAAGCTTAAATTAACAGTTATACATGTAGTTTAGAATCTCAGTACCCAGACATCAGCCATCCCGCATTATGATTTACTGTAAGATTCCATTTGGTGTATTTAAACAATATTAAGTATCAGAGAGGCAATGTATTGCCCAGTTGAGTTAAGGAAAAATTTTGGATCCTTATAAAATATCAATTTCAGAGATTATCACTGCTATTAGAAACCTAATAGCATTTTCCCCATTTTATGTTGTACCTCAGGATGGAGCTGTTGGTAGTTTAACAGACACTCTAACCCAGGGGTGGGCAAAATATGGCCCGGGGGGCCAGATCCAGCCCACCAGGCCATTCTATCTGGCCCGCAGGGGCCCCTAAAAAATTTAGAAAAGTAATATTTATTTGCTTCTAGCTGCCTGTCAAAGATGACAGGACCCAGAGGCAGTAGAGCCTAGAGGAAACTGGTGGTAGGACCCAGCAGCAAGGCCTGCCCAGCCCTGCTCCCCCAACCAGAAACCCCTGCCTAGCAGACGCTTCTGGCCTGGGACCATGGGTCTGTTCCTGTTTCCGTGTGCTGGAGAGGAAAATGCGGCCCTCAACAGCTTGCCAAGACTCGGTAAGTGGCTCTCCACTCGAAATAATTGCCCACCCCTGCTCTAACCCAAGGAAAAACAGAAGTTTTCCAAATTGTATTTAAAGAAATTTTTCAGTAAGTTGCATTTTAAACTCTTACATAGAAATTCCACTCCTATGATTGTACACAAAGCTTTCTAATCATTTGGCTAGATATTTCAGAACTTTGAATGTGAAATATGACATTTTGTAAAATACAACTGCTACTTTAATCACTAAACTGGGAACATAGAAGAGTAAGATTTTTACTTTTGGTCATAAGCTAAGGTAATGATAGAGTACCCACTGTCTGAAAATTCTTTCTTCTGAGCATTTTTTTTTCAGATTCTATAAAGATCCCATGGTAGCAAGCCAGCTTCCTGCTTTTAAGATATGGGTAGTTATTTGCGGTATGGGTTCTGTGGCTAAATAACTCATAAAAAACAGGACAGAAGGAACCATCTTTACTCTGATCCATAATTTGGATAGGAATTAGAAATTGCATGACCTTTAAACAAAGGAAAAAATAATTCTTGTTCTTTTACTGCTAGTTCTTTACATTTGAATCTTATAATTAAAACTGTATTAGGGTGCAGATATACAATGTCCTGAAAGATGATAAAGCTGATTCTTAATCTGAAATAAGACTATCTATACAAAGTGTGCAGGAATGGTTATTGTGCTTAAAATCTAAAACCTGTATATCAACCCAAATTAAACTTTCAAATGGAGATAAGCCCTCTGTTGCTTTTATAAAAGCAATGGTAGGATGTAAACACTGAAGAATGCCTATTTTAGATTACCCAATACAAAAGGCTTATTTCTAAATAGAATCATAGAAAATCAGGGTTGGAAGAGACCTCAGGAGGTCACCTAATCCAACCCCACTGCTCAAAGCAGGATCATCCCCAACTAGATCATCCCAGCCAAAGCTTTGTCTACTTGAGTCTTAAAAACCTCCAAGCATGGCAATTCCACAAACTCTCTGGGTACCTGTTTAAGTGCTTTCCTTGTGAGAGAGTTTGTTTCTACTATCTGACCTAAACTTCCCTTGCTGCAACTTGAGACCATTGTTCCTTGGTTCTGTCATCTGCCACAGCTAAGAACAGTTTAGCTCAGAGGTGGGCAAAATACGGCCTGCGGACTGGATATGGCCTGCCAGGCCATTCTATCTGACCCATGGGGCCCCTAAAAAATTTAGAAAATTAATATTCATCTGCCCCTGGCTCCTGTCAAAGGTGACAGGAGCCAGGGGCAGTAAGACCCAGGGGATGCCCCGGCAGGCACCTGCAACAGCAGGGCCAGCCCGGCCTCGGGCCCCCTGGTAGAAGCCCCTGCTAGGCCCTGCTAGCCCCTGCTGGTCTGGGACCATGGGACTGTTCATGGCTGCGTCAGCGCAGGAAATTCAGGTAAGAAGGAGGTGGGGAGGCAGAGGAGAACTGTAGGGATCACCCCAGTTCTTGGGGCTGGGCCGGCCCCTGCTGAGCCCCACATTCCGGCCATGCAGCTGGGAGCCAGCAGGTGGGCGGGAAAGCAGCAGTGGGGACAGCAAGGAGTGGGAGTGTGGGGCCCATGCCGGTGTCCCGGGGCCAGCACCAGCGGGGCCCAGAGTGGGGCAGTAGGAGCACGGGGTGTGGGCTGGCAAGGGTCTGTGGAGCCGGGCTGGGCAGCACCAGCAGGGAGAGGGGGAGCTCACCCAGCTCCATAGAGCCCTGCTGGCTGGGATCCTGCGCTCCTGCTGCCTTGCTCTGAGCTCCGCTGATGCTGGCCCCGGGACACCTCCTGTCTGCTGCTGGCTCCCATGTGCCCACTGCCTATGTCTGCTCTCCATTACCACCACTGCCCCAGTGAGGCAGTGGAGAGGCAGGAAAGTCCCCGTGGGCTCCGAGCAGCTGCAGCACGGGGCGCCAGCCATGGGGAGGGGGGAGCGCTTTTTTTCCATGCTGAGCACCAGCTTGTTCCTCATCAACAAGCACTGGGTTGGGGCTGCGTGCTGCTGCCCTCCTGTACCATGGGGCTAGGGCAGGGGCACTGGGAGTGAGCAGCCGCATGGAAGCTAGTGGCAGCTGGGCGGGAGTGCGGGGCCCATGCCGGTGTCCCAGGGCCAGTGCCAGCGGGGCCCAGAGCAGGGAGGCAGGAGCGTGGGGTCCTGGCTGGAAGGGCTCTATGGAGCCAGGCCAGCTCCCCCCTCTCCCTGCTGGTGTAGCCCAGCCTGGCTCCACAGACCCCTGCCAGCCCACACCCCAGGCTCCTACCTCCCCACTCTGGGCCCTGCCAGCACTGGCACTGGGACATTGGTACAGACCCACACTCCTGCTCATTTCCACTCCCCCACGCTGCTTTCCCCACTTCCTGGCCTGCCCACTCTGCACTACATGGCTTCCATAACCACACACATCCACACAACCCCACAAACCCCCATATGCAATCACTTCTGTATATACACCACAAATGCCCACAAATCAGGACAAAAATATATTTTTAAATTAAATTAAAATATATTATTATGAGTGTTTGATTTTTAGTATGTAATTTGGTGTTTTCCCCCTAAGATGGTTAACTCTCTTCTCCAAAGGAGTACTTCCAGGGGCAAGGGGAGGGACTTCAAGTGGCAAAGGTCAGAGGTTAGGGACTTCTGGTCCCAAGATCGTGAACAGGGGGTGGGGCACCTGTCAAGGGGCGGGACTACCCATGTGGCCCTCAACAGCTTGTCAAAACTTGGTAAGCGGCCCTCCACCCAAAATAGATCTCTGGTCTAGCTTCATCCTCTTTGGAACCACCCTTCATGTAGTTGAAGGCTGCTATTGAATCCCTCCTTGGTCTTCTCTTGTCCAGACTAAATAAGCCCAGTTCCCTCAGCCTGTCCTCAGAAGTCATGTGCCCCAGCCCTCTAACCATTTTTGCTGCCTTCTGCAGGACTCTCTCCAACTCATTCACATCCTTTCTGTAATGGGGGCCCAAAACTGAACACAATACTCCAGATGTGGCCCTGCCAGTGCTGAATAGAGGGGAAGAATCACTTCCCTCAATCTGCTGGCGACACTCTTACCAATGCAGCCCAGGATGCCATTATCCTTCTTGGTAGCAAGAGCACACTGTTGGTTCATATTCAGTTTATTGTCTACTGTAACCCCAGGTCTTTTTCTCCAGAGTCACAGCTTAGCCAGTCATTCCCCAGCCTGTACCAGTGCATAGGTACAGACATATTTATATTTCATAAAATTTATATAAATGTGGAAACAGTAGATTCTCTAGCCCTGGGAAATAATGTGGTCTAAGAACAGTGACTTTCTAGACTATGTTTTTTGCCCACCTATCTCTACCTGTGAAACTATGGACAAGTAACCTAGGTTGCCTATAAACGTGCTGGTTTGTTCTAATTCAGGGGTGGGCAAAATGTGGCCCACAGGCCAGATGTGGCCCACCAGGCCGTTCTGTCTGGCCCGTGGGGCCCCTAAAAAATTTAGAAAATTAATATTTATCTGCTCCTGGCTGCCTGTCATGTGGCGCTTGATGGCTTGCCATCTCAGTAAGCAGCCCTCCACCTGAAGTAATTGCCCGCTCCTGGTCTAATTAGAATGCTCCAGCATGGATTCACTAAGTTCCCATGCATTTAAAAATGGCTGCTGGGGTGCTTTATCTAAACCTCATTGAATGAGGTTTAAATAAGTGTCCCATGGCCATTTTAAACCTGCAAGGGCTTAATATACATGATGGTGAGGCGATTTAATTAGAGCGGCTCTCCAGGAATACCTCCCCCCCACAGCATGTGTATAGGCACCCCTAATATTTCTGTAACTTACTTCTCTACTTTCAAAGTATATAGGAATAATCATCTATATCACAAGGGTGATGGGCAGGTTAGACTGTAGTGCTTCAAGATTTTTAAATAAAAGCTGCTATGGAACAATCAAGCATTTTTTAACTGTAGGGAGTGTAAAAGACAACTGTCAGCAATTTATAAAATCAAAGGATTTTTCGCATCAGAACATTAGGTCCTACTTTAAGTACTACAGGTAACATGACTGCATTTACCTTGTGCAACAACATTTGACAAGTCCATTTTTTGTTGCTCTCAGGTGTTGCTTTAAGCATGATTGCTGTTATAGTAAAGCAGAGCAAGCAGGCTGCCAACCTAAGACAGGGCGCTATGACTGGGAATGCAATGATAAGTCTGCTGTGTGTGGTGAGTACTTATTTCTTATTTAGATCTACTGCCATTAACAGTGAGCATTCAATGTTAAAATCACTATTTAGCCACCTGCCATCTTCATTTGCTACTTATTTATACCTGTAATTCTCTCAAAATCTGTTACTATTTATCCTGAAGTTTTTCCTTCAGAGATTCAAGTTAAGCATAGCTTTGAAGTGAGGGACCCCATATAAAGATTTTCTGCTGATCTACTACCAAAGCCCTAAAGCAAGGGCAGCTTATATCGTGGCAGCAGCAGCAGTTTTGACAGTATAATTTATGCCACTTTTTCCGAATGAAAAACTGAAGAATTTTTGCCAAAATAAATTGTATGTATATAGTTTTGCCAGAAAATCCCTCTATGACAGTTGGGGATAATTCCCTCCCCAGTGCTAATTATGAGCATATGAAGCAAATGCTAGTTTAGTATTGATGTATATCAAATGCTCTTTCGATGAAGCAATTAATCATCTCCACCCCCCCCACACACAACCACTCCCCATCCCCTCCCCGCCACTCTTTGTTACATTCTAGAGCAAGGGTGGCCAACCTATAGCATGAGTGCCACAAAGTGGCTTTGATGGCCTCTGTCTGCATGGCATGTGGCAGCTCAGAGAAAGGACAGACAGCACGCTGGCAGATAGGGCAGAAAGCAAAGCAAAATAGCAAATTGGGCAGGGAACACAGGGAAGAAAGCAGAACACAGAACAGCAGATCAGGTAGGGGAAGGGAATCAGAGTGCCACGTAGAGTGTGCTGGGCTAATTTGTGGCATGCCTGCTGAAAAGGTTGGCCCCCACTGCTCTACAGCCACACTGAGGCCACAAAGCCTGCTAAGTTTCAAGGATATAAGTGCAGGGGTTTGGGGGAAACTGCACCTCAAGCTGCGGACAAGCAAAACTCGTGACATGGGTGACCCTGTGTGTGTTAAGGTGCAGCAGGGTGAAAGCGTGAAAGCTGCGGCCCTGCTCGCCCCTGCTGCAGCCATGAAGCCTGCCAGCTGTCAAGGAGATAGGTGCAGGGGCTTCTGGGTTCTGGGGCCGTGCACCCCTAGCTGCTGACAGACAAAGCTCATGACATGGGTGCTTGTGCAACTGTGTCTGTCTTGGGACATGGGGGGAGGAGGAGACACACGATGACACACTACTGCAGGCCTGGCTGCTAAGCTACTGTGTTACCAGTTACCAATTAATCATGATTCACTCAGGGATCAGCTCTACACAGTACCTAGCTACTACATAACGAGCTTGGATTAACACCTACAAAACCATAGACTAAAGAGAGGAAAGAATCCATACAGACAATCAACTGCCCCAAGACAGACGCAATCAGTTGCACAAGCACCCATGTCACGAGTTTTGTCTGTCAGCAGCTGGGGGCGTAGGGCCCCAGAACCCCCCTGCACCTATCTCCTTGACAGCTGGCAGGCTTCGTAGCCTCAGCAGGGGCTAGCAGGCTTGCAGCTTTCACGCCACTGCGCCTTAACACAGTGTCACCCATGTCACAAGTTTTGCCTGTCAGCAGCCAGAGGTGCAGGGCCCCAGAAGCCAGACTCCCCCTGCACCTAGTTCCTTGACAGCTGGGAGGCTTCATGGCCTCAGCAGGGGCCACCAACCCTGCAATTTTCAGCCCACTGCGCCTTAACACACACATGGTCATCTATATCATGAGTTTTGCCTGTCAGCAGCTTAAGGTGCAGTTCCCCCCAAACCCCGGCACTGATCTTCTTGAAACTTGGCAGACTTTGTGGCCTCATCAGGGGTTACCCCCCCCTGCAGTTTCCACCCCCCTGTGGTGTAACACATAGACATGACATGAGTTTTCCTTCCAAGAATTAGGGGTGCAGTTCTCCCCGAACCCCTGCACCAATCTTGAAACTTTGCAGGCTTCATGCTCTCAGCAGAGGCTACCACCCCTGCAAGTTTCATCTAAATAAGAAAAAAAACAACAAAGTTATAGATATTTCATTGATTCCCCATTATACCATACGGCCGGATCTCCGAGGTGGCTCCGAAGCTCCAGAGCTGCTTCAGCCGGATCGAAGCGGGAACCCGGTCTGGAGCTCCAGATCAGATCCCTGACATCCAAAGCATCCAGATCTGAAGCCGGATCGAATAGCTGTTTACTTGCACAGACCTAGTGCGCAGTGTTTTACAGAACTTGGAGCTGGAAGCCAGTAGGATTCATAGGTTAAAATATACATATAAAGAAGAACAGTTGTTTAACAAAAATGCTCCTTATACAAATTCTTCAAATGCACGGAGTATTAGAGCTTCTGATCCTAGGCCTTAACATACCTCCAAGAGGAAGAATGGAACCAATTTATACTGTTCAAATTTCCTTCTCTGAAGAGTCACAGTTTTCCCTCAGCTAAAAAAGTTGATGGAGAGCCAGAAAAAATATGAAATATGGGAAATAAAACTTTGTTATTCAGATGTGACTAATAGGGCAAAGTAATAAGTTTAGAAATGAAAGAAACACTAGTCTAATACCACATAGGATAAAAAGATTTTCTCAATATATTTAGACAAAGTATTTGGGCAGGAAGAGAAATAAAATCTTTTTTTTTTTCAGTTTTACATCACTTCATCATCATGTCTTATTAATGTCATTACTGTTGTACGCAGCCATCATGCACACTTCTCTATACAATCAGAATCATTTAATATTTGTTAAAGCTATTCCCCCTCTGTCCTCATCTGTTTAAAGTTACTACTAAAAGGTTCTTGGTGCCTCTGCATTGATGATATTTTGTGCTAAACTATCTTATGTCATTGTCATCATTCCTTCCAAAATAACTTATCTGTCAGGTTATTCTTATCAGCTGGTGTTCAGGACAGCCTATCAGATTGGGGAGAACATTGATTTAGATTAAGTATAGTAAATATTTCACTTTAACTCTTAAAGATGAGAAGAGGAAAGAAATCATTTCCTTGTTAAAAACTGATACAACTCAGAACAATTTTCTGAACATTTGATGCCCTGCAATTATTTCACCTCATTAAAATTGTTTTCATTCTCTTCCAGACTCAGAGGACGAATGTCAAGAAATGATGTGCGAATGTGACAGTGAGGCTGCTAAGTGTTTTGCTAAAGCCCCTTATAATTCAAAATATATTTTCTGGCCAGACTTCAAATGTGGTGAGAGACAACCTAAATGTAAAGATTAGTGTACTGTTACCATACTAATATTGAATACAACTGTATATGTTTTTGAACAACAAACTTTCCTTTGGCTAGTGGTGGTCATTCTTTTTCTCAATGATACTAATGCCTGTATCTACTTATTATAAAGCATAGGTTAAAAACAAGTCTAGTGGTTCAAGTTATAATAGCAGAGTAGCAACTTTTGACAACTGACTATTGAATATAATTTTACCAGATGTTTCTAATACACTAAAATTATACCACCTCAAGAAGCAGCAGAAGGTTAACCTGATGGTTCCTCTGCTTCAAGTGCCAGTTTTATTACTTTGTTCACCACAAGCAGTTTTGTCAGCTATATTGCTTTATCATGCTCACATTCCCAAGATAAGACATAGGGATCTAGTAAAGGGAAGGGCAGTTATTTCGGCGGAGGGTCACTTACTGAGTTTTGGCAAGCTGTTAAAGGCTGCATTTCCCTTTGACACAGGGAAGCAGGAACAGCCCCATGGCCCCAGACCAGAAGCCTCGGCTAGGCAGGGGTTTTTGCTTGGGGGGGCAGGACTGGGCAGGCCTTGCTGCTGGGTGGAAAGAGGACCCAGGAAGCTATAGGCCCGTTAGTCTTACCTTGGTCCTGGGGAAGCTCTTTGAGAAAATGATTCAGGAGCACATCTGCGAGGGGCCAGTAGGGGAGTTTATGCTTAAGGGCAATCAACATGGGTTCATTAGAGGCAGGTCCTGTCAGGCCAACCTGGTGGCCTTCTATGAACAGGTCACAAAAGCCTTGGACACAGGTGTCACAGTGGACATAATCTTCCTGGACTTTAGGAAGGCCTTCAACACTCTCTCTCACCCCATCCTCATTAAAAAATTAGGTGTCTGTGGTGTCGACGCCTACAGAGTCAGATGGGTCGCCAATTGGCTGGAGGGCCGCACCCAGAGTGGTGGTGGACCGGTCATTTTCAACCTGGAAGGATGTGGGTAGTGGGGTTCCCCAGGGCTCGGTCCTCGGGCCTGTACTGTTCAATATCTTCATTGGTGAAAAGCTCCTTGTTCAAGTTCGCAGATGACACCGAGATGTGGGGAGAAGTGAGCATGCTAGAGGAGAGGGACAGGCTACAACTAGATCTTGACAGGTTACAGAGGTGGGCAGATGAGAATAGGATGGGTTTCAATACAGACAAGTGCAAGGTGTTGCACCTGGGGAGGAAGAACCAGCAGCATACCTACAGGCTGGGGGACCCCTTTTCATCAGCACAGAGGCGGGCTTGGAGTCACTATTGATTCCAAGATGAACATGGGCCGCCAATGTGGGGACGTGGTCAGGAAGGCTAACCACACTGTCATGCATCCATAGATGCATCACGAGCAGGTCCAAGGAAGTGATCCTCCCCCTCTGTGCAACATTGGTCAGGCTGCAGTTAGAGTACTTCGTCCAGTTCTGGGTGCTGCACTTCATGAGGGATGTGGACAGCATAGAGAGGGTCCAGAGGAGGGCCATTCGCACGATCGGGGGCAGCAGGGCAGGCCCTGCAAGGAGAGGCTACAGGACCTGAACCTGTTCCACATGCAGCCCCTTCTCTGGGTCTCAGACCCCTGGTCCTCCATGCAGCCCCTTCTCTGGGCTCTTGGAGTCCGACCTATCCCCATTGGGCCTTTAGGACTCTAATCCGGGTCTCAGCCTTGCCCTAGGTTTCTGCATCCCCCACTGGGCTGCACTCTCTCAACTGTGGGTTCCTGTGTTACTGGTTCTCTAAGTCACCCCTGAGCCTGCCAGAGCAGTGGTCAAGGATAACGTCTGTCCCCCCCACCCCAATCCCTTAAATAAAAAAACGCCAAAGCATCTCCACTCTCTGGCAGAGACCCCAAACTCACTCTGGGTTTAGCCTAAAACAAAGTCCACTAGCCTGTAAAACTCAGTCTTCCTCTGCCCAGGTGACTTGCCTGTTCCCACTTGCACTGGCAGGGTTATTTACCAAAGTTCAAGTCCCTTTGGGAGCCCTGCTGCTCTGCTGCCAGAAGCTCCTCACTTCCAATACCTGCCCTGGTTAGGCAGTCTCTTCCTGGCAGTTGTGGCTTATATAGCTCAGGCATGAGCCCTTTTCCTATCAGGTGAGTCTCTAATTAGCTCCCTATGTCACCTGCAAGTGGCCCCTCAGGCTGCTTGCTCTCTTAAAGCACAGGTTTTCAACCTTTTTTAGTAAGTGTACCCCTGGGGGAGTATAGCAAGTAGCAGAGCAGCGGCAGCACGGTGCCTATGAGGCCCTGCAAGGCAGCCGCGTGGGATAGCAGCCTTCCAAAATACCCCCAGAGGTATGTGTACTCACACTGACAACCCCTGCCTTAAAGGAGCAGGCACACCCCAGTGCCCTGCAACATAGGGTTTGGGCAAAAGGAAAGAGGACTAAGCTTTAGAAAACATCTTTATTTTTTATCTAATTTTTAAAAAGTGTTCATATGATACAAATGGAAAAAAGTCACCAAGATGCAATTCATAGCATTTTAAAATGAAAGTTACTTTTGTTTCACTCAAACATCAAATGATAAATCTCTTGTTTATACAAAAATCACTTTTAATTCAGTATTTACAGAAAATACATCAGCAGATCACACTAGGAAGAGTTTACAGTGTTAGGTCACTTTACCAAATTAATATTCAAATGGTAGTACCTGAATTTAGTTTATTTGATAGTGCTTTCTCTCCAAAGTTGTTTCAGAAATTAAGTCAGCTCTTGATGAAATTTAGCATGCCTGAATACTATAGCTTAATTAAAAGATTTGGAATGCAAAGAAAACCCTTTCTGTTGTCTATGGCTGAAACAGAAGAAATAACTGAATAAACACTATGACAGATTTGTGCATTTGACTATAGCATCTTAGTATGTGAAACCGAGTCTAAGCCTGATATACTTCAATATTGGACCCATTAATGAAATCAGTAGCTCACTCTGTCATACGTAAGCTTCAGCTCACTGTTCCCTCTACCTCCAAGGGAACGTTAAGTTATAAATAGTACAGCTCACTAACTTAGAGAGTAGAGGGTAAAGGTCCTATCGAAGAACATGACAAATAGATTTCTCAGATACTGGAGTAGAAAACAATTGAGTCCCCTAACCAAAAACATGTCTTTAGCTATTTTAAACCAGCCCATAGAAGAATAATGTCCTTCTCAATTATGGCAAAGCGACATAAGACAAAGTCTACCTTTATAGTTATGGTACCCCCTGCATGAAAGTGACTTACCTTAAGGCAATTTTTTTAATTAACAAAAATCAGCACTTTCCGCATTGCATTAAGGAAAAGAAGCAATATTTTTCTTTCAAAAGTCAGACTTCAGACATCAAAATGGCTCAGATATTGACTTCTGAAGAAAGTTTTAACATTGATCATTGCACTTATGTTTCCAGACGTCTTATTTCTTTTACCACAAGATCAATATTTATAATTGGATTAAAGTACAAAGCCCAGTAAAACAAACAGTTGCAGACAAACTGTGGAATAAAGGGCCAAAAGATGGCAACAAAAAGTCCCTGGGTAGACACTTTCCAGAAGTGGCTCCACATTCTATGAGGAATAGTCCTGAGAAAGAGACCAAGAGAAGCATCTTAGAGTGGAAGTCGTTGACTTCTAGAGGACTTTTTCTTCTGTTTTTAATAGCTATCAGTGCAACATATAGCATATTGTCACTGTTTATTTAATTAAATGTGATAAGTCACCTAGCACTCTTACAAACTGTCCAGCAATTTAAATCAGATTCCCAGAAAGTGCAGCTCCTGACCTGGAACACTTTGAGCATTAAACAGCTAAAAAACTTAACAGGAATTAGCTAACTCTGTGGTACTCAGAATTAGGTATTTTACTGATTAGAATTTAATTTTAAGTGCTTTTAGGAAAAATACTGGTTACATTACTAACTACCTTTAGTATGTAGTTAGTACTACTGCAGGTACTAAAGTATAGGCAGATTCAGATTTTATACTTGGAAACTTTAGTGGAGTTATTTCAACATATTTATTTTCAGTAAGCAACTGTCAAGTTACTTATCCCAGGCACATACTTATTCCAGTCACACACTTGAGACTTACTTCAGTTTCCTTCTTGACCAGAGCTTCCAAAATGAAAATAATTCCAGAACAGAGAGCAGCATGGCATTGACTATTATAAATCTCGATGTCCAGTAGTGCACCTCAAGCCAATCCCAGGCAAATTCAGCTATTAATTGGTATGGCAAAAGTAAGTACTTAACAATGAATTCTCTCCACTGTTTCCAAGTAGGATCTGTACGGTCCTAAATTAAAAAGAAAGCTACAAATTAGTTTCATACCAAGCAGTTAAAATACTGGTTTAGTCCACTTTTCGTTGCTTTATAACTACAAATTGTTTTTGGTTTTTTTAGAAAGCACTTCTCTCCATTAATTATTTGTTAAGTGATGAGGTTACTGTTATTTTCTCACATATGACATATCCCCCAAATAAAACATACCTTGTTTTTGGATGGTAAAGTGTAGGGCATTTTTTACAGTCATAGCTCGCTGTATGACATAGGACGAAGTATCCCAAGGAACATACAGTGTCCAGGAAGTATGGCACCAGGAAAATCTTGATGTGAGCTGCCTCACCCAGACAGTCTCCTGGAAGGCCATACTTCCTGGACACTATGCTCCCAGGAGGACTTACCCTACTGCACACAAGGTCAAGTCCCAGATCCATCCAAGGCCAGTAACAAGACTGTTAGTTCTTTAAGTAGTTCTTTATGTAAGTTGTGTAAATAAAGCGTTGTTTCCACATTACAAGCCTCATGAAAATACTACTGGCAGCTCATCTGCTGCTTTGGGCACAAGCTACACTGCTCAGCCGATAGGTATGGTTATGTGAGAGGGCTAACACCAGGCTCCACCATCTTGGCAGCTGCAAAGTATGCACAGTGTTTCCAGGCTTCTTTCCAAGCAAACTCCCTGCTTAAAAAACACACCCTGCTTTTGAGTGGCTGATTTTGGAGGAAAGCATTTGTCCTGTATGTGAGAAAAATACTGCATTGCTAGAAAAAATTACTACTACTGACATCTACCTCA